TTTCCAGCCGCCCTGGGGCAGGCGTCCTCGACGGCGGGCTAGTTTCTGTTATACCGTCTTCTTCGTCCCCCAACCAACGGCGCCCTCAAGGGCGCGAAGTTCTTCGCGCTTCGCGGTTCGGCTGCGACTGCTCCTCATCTCTCCTTCTCCCCTGGGGGCTGGCGCGAGAGCGCGAGGTTGTTCGCGAAGCGCGGAATTAGCCGCCCTTGTGGTTCATGGCTCGCCACTGTTCTTGCCCACCTCTGGGCGCAGACATGAGCCTGTAGTGGAGCCTGCAGGGCAGCAAGCTCAGCGACCCTAATCCGGCTGCCGCTCACCTTTCCTCGTCGTCCTCCTCTTCCCTCAGTCCCTCGCCCTGCCTCTCTGGAGCTGGGCGCGGGGAAGCTGCATCGGCATCGGCAGTTCCTCGTCGCCCTCCTCTTCCCTCGGTCCCTCGCCCTGCCTCCCTGGAGCTGGGCGCGGGGGAGCTGCGTCGGCACCGGCAGCGCCCCCCGGCGGAGCCAGGGGGGGCCAGCTGCCGGCCGGCGAGGTCGGCACGGCTCCTCTCCACCCCGAACTTGGCACCGCTCGGAGGTGTGCATTTTTCCTTCGGCGAGGACCATCGAGGAGCATCCTTGATCATTTGGCGCAAAAACCACGCACGACATCAGAAAAAGCACAGGGAGTGGACGTCCGAGCGATGGCCAGCGAAGCGCAGGTCCAAGCAGAAGGTCCTGTCTGGCCCTCCTGGCCACCCCGCGCGACCGCCGCGGCCCCGGCCCGAACGGGCGTAGGATGAGGATACAGTCGGCCCAGATTAGCAGGTCGACCCTCCCAAGTCAAGAGTACCCTTGTGTCCTGCATCTCGCGACCCGTGCCTCCTACATTATTATGGCAATTCGGCCCTTGGAAGGGTCTTGTGTCCTCTCACACGTCCTGCCCAATCAAGTCCGACTGTATGTCCGATCCAAAGTTTTCCAGAACGCTCCGAGGAGGCCGCGGCGCCCGAGACATCCTCCAGAGCCGCTGGACCTCAGAGCTTCCCGACGTATCCTGACCGATGTGATCCTTGTCCTGGCTTCGTCTTACCTCCCAGCCACCCCGCGCGACCACCGCGGCCCCCTCCGAGCCGGCCCCCCCCAGGACCTGGCGGAGGTTGCGCGGGTCAGCCTCACGGTGCCCCCCGCAGGAGACCCTCGGCGGCGAGCGAGGGGGGGAACTGAGAAGGAGAAGGCCTTCTCAGAAGGCGGCAGGGTTTCTCAGAAACACTCCAGCCTTCTGAGGGGTGTTATGTGTCGTCGGAGATAGCTTAGAGACCCCCCCGACAATATGTATGTTTAGCTATATACATATGCACATATGTTTATATACATGTACATGTGCGTGTGTATATAGATATATATACTAGACACACATGTACATGTACGTGTACATATATGAGAAGCTCCCCCAGCACCCATTCAGTTTTGCATCGGTCTTGGAGCTCTTCATTCATATCCGTCTTGATCATATGCCGTCTTCTCATCCGTGCCTTTTCATCCATCCTAGTCATCATTTCTCCTGTGTTCTATCGTGCTGGGATATCATTGGGATCAGTTGGATTTGGATCTGCGCGACTCTAGTTAGATTCTTGTTCTACTTCAACAGGAATCACAGTGGAATCGGCCGGACCTGGAATCCGCTCCACCCCAGTTCGATTCTCATGAAATCCACATACGAGTCTACTTGGAATCGGCTGGATCTGGGATCTGGCCAATTCCAATTAGACTCTAGTTAGATTCCAAGAGGAATCCAATGTGAACCAGCTGGATATGAGTTCTACTGGAGTCGATTGGAATCCGATTCCAATAGGAATCCAAGTGGTAACAGCTATATCTGGGATCTGTTCCACTCCAAATAGAGTCGAATTCGATTCCAAGAGGGATCAAAGTTAGATCAGCTGGATCTGGGATCTTCTCCATTCCAATAAGATTCGAATCCGATCCCAATAGGAAAATATTTGGAATCAGCTGGATCTGTGATCTCCTCAATGACAAATCGATCCTAATCAAATCCCAATAGGAACCCAATTGGACTTAGCTGGATCTGGAATGTGCCCAATGCGTTCCAACTAAGTCAACTTCCAATAGGAATCAAATGAGAGTCAGCTTGATCTGGGATCTGCTCCATGTCAATTCGGTTCTAATATGAGTACAGCCGGAAATCAGCTGGGCCTGTGACCTGCTCAATTCCAATTAAATTCGAACTAGATCCCAATACAAACACAATATGAGACAGTTGGATCAGGGACCTGCTCAATTTCAAATTGGGATATACTAAGTAGCAAGAGGAATCAAGTTGGAATCAGCTGAATTTGGGATCCGCTCCACCCCAAGTAGATATCATTTGAATTGCACATAGATTTGCAATCCGCAGGATCTGGAATCTGCCCCTCTCTCGCTCTCTGCCTCTCTCTCTCTTTCTCTCTGTCCTTCTCTTTCCCTCTCTCTCCCTCCCTCTCTCTCTCTCTCTCTCTCTCTCTCTCTCTCTTTCTCGCCCAGACACAACACAACCCCTGTGAAAACACAAGGTTCGCCATGCCAGGGGTGCGGAACGGAAACCCTGTGTTGTTATGTTTGGATGTTTCGGAGCCTGGGGATGAGAAGTGAGGACACCATGAGTTTTCGGAGTTTTGGTTCTTGTATGTTACCTAACAGCGAAGACTGATAGGTTTCTAGTAGTGTCAAAAGAGAGCATCATGACTCCCCAGGGGGGTCTGGGCGGCATCCTGACAGGGATCCGCGGCAGTCGTTTTATGCAAACAGTTACACACTTCGTGGTCTTCGAGGTCCCAGAACTCCATTCCCGGGCCACATTCTGAATGCCCTGAGCCAACTGTAGGCCACTTCGTGGTCTTCGAGTACCCAGAACTCATTCCTGGGCCACATTTTCAATGCCCGGAGCCAGCTGTAGGCCACTTCGTGCTCTTCGAGTTCCCAGAACTCCATTCCCGGGCCAAATTTTGAATGCCCGGAGCCAACCGTAGGCCATTTCGTGCTCTTCGAGCTCCCAGAATTCATTCCCGGGCCACATTTCGAATGCCCAGAGCCAACTGTAGGCCACTTCGTGCTCTTCGAGTTCCCAGAGCTCAACTCCCGGGCCACATTTGCAATGCCCAGAGCCAATTGTAGGAGGATCAGGGGCAAGAGCACGAGGAGGAGGAGGACGAGCAAGACGAGGAGGACGAGGACGAGCACGAGGAGGAGGAGGCGGAGGAGGAGCAGGAGAAGGAGAACGAGCAGGAGGAGGAGGAGGAGGAGGAGGAGGAGGACGAGCAGGAGGAGGAGGACGAGCAGGAGGAGGAGGACGATCAGGAGGAGGAGGAGGAGGAGGAGGAGGGGAGGGGGAGGACGACCAGGAGGAGGAGGAGGAGGAGGAGGAGGAGGAGGAGAAGGAGGAGAGGGGAGGGCGGCCGGCTGCCCTGGCCGGCTGCCGCGGCCGGCTGCCCCGACCGGCCACATTTTGAATGCCCGGAGCCAATTGTAGGCCACTTCGTGCTCTTCGAGTTCCCAGAACTCCATTCCTGGGCCACATTTTGAATGCCCGGAGCCAACTGTAGGCCACTTCGTGTTCTTCGAGTTCCCAGAACTCCATTCCAGGGCCACATTTTGAATGCTGAGGCAGGCTGATGCTGAGGCTGAGGCAGGCTGAGGCTGAGGCAGGCTGAGGCTGAGGCCTAGGCTGAAGGCAGACTGAGGCTGAGGCTGAAGCAGGCTGAGGCTGAGGCTGAGGCAGGCAGGCTGAGGCTGAGGCTGAGGCAGGCTGATGCTGAGGCAGGCTGAGGCTGAGGCTGAGGCTGATGCAGGCTGAGGCTGAGGCAGGCTGAGGCTGAGGCCGAGGCTGAAGGCAGACTGAGGCTGAGGCTGAAGCAGGCTGAGGCTGAGGCTGAGGCAGGCTGAGGCTGAGGCTGAGGCAGGCTGATGCTGAGGCAGGCTGAGGCTGAGGCTGAGGCTGATGCAGGCTGAGGCTGAGGCAGGCTGAGGCTGAGGCCGAGGCTGAAGGCAGACTGAGGCTGAGGCTGAAGCAGGCTGAGGCTGAGGCTGAGGCAGGCTGAGGCTGAGGCTGAGGCAGGCTGATGCTGAGGCAGGCTGAGGCTGAGGCTGAGGCTGATGCAGGCTGAGGCTGAGGCAGGCTGAGGCTGAGGCCGAGGCTGAAGGCAGACTGAGGCTGAGGCAGGCTGAGGCTGAGGCTGAGGCAGGCTGAGGCTGAGGCTGAGGCTGAGGCTGAGGCTGAGGCTGCTGTGAGGCTGACTGCCTGACTGCTGATGAGGCATCTGAAATGCGACTGCGACTGTCATCGCGAATGCGACTACGATTGCGAGAACAGCAGAATTCTACAACTGGATTATCATCTGAATCTTAAGGGGAATGCTTCCAGATATGCTCCTACACATCGCTGTTAGGTCGCTTTGCCGGGATAATTCTGGATTTTCTGAAGTGCGTGCGTGCACGTGTGTGTGTGTGTGTGTATGTGTGTGCGTCTTTGCGTGTGTGCGTGTGTGCATGTATGCGCGTGCGTGTGTTGAGTGTATGTGTGTGCTCAAGCGTGTGTAAGTGTGCGTGCGTGTGTGTAAGTGTGTGTGTGTGTAAGTGTGCGTTCGTGTGTGTAAGTGTGTGTGTGTGAGTGTGAGTGTGAATGTGAATGTGAATGTGAATGTGAATCTGAATGTGTGTGTGTGTGTGTTTGTGTGTTTGTGTGCGTGCGTGCGTGCGTGCGTGCGTGCGTGCGTGCGTGCGTGCGTGTGTGTGTGTGTGTGTGTGGTGGGGGGGGGCGGATGTGTGCGTGCGTGCGTGTGTGCGCGTGCGTACGTGCGTGTGTGCGTTTGTACGTGTGTGCGTGCGTTCGTGTGTGCGTGTGTGCGCGTGTGTGGTCGTGCGTGTGTGTTTGTGTGTGTGCCAGTGTGCGCAGATGTGTGTAACTGTGAATTTGAGTGTAAGTGTGTAAGTATGTAACTGTATGTGTGTGCGCGTGCTGCTTGTGCGCATGTGCTGGTGGGTGCGTCCGTGCGTATGTGGGTGCGCGGTCTGGTTTCACGGCGGCCCCCGCAGGATCCGTGCGAGTCGTCACGGCAGAGCTTCCACTGGGACAGCCCACGGGTCAGTGGTCAGAGCCCGAGTGGATAGCCCCTTCTGGCGCCGAGACCGTGCCCCTGACGGAGTTCGCCGGCAGCGGCCAGATCAACTCGTTGGGGGGAGTGCCGGCGTTGCGGGGCATGCAGTGCCCGCTGCAGTTCGCGACCGAGGCTCGGAGAATGAGCATTGGATAAGCATAAACGTTTGGAACTCCACGTGGGTTTCTTGGATCGGCGCTGGAACCCCTTTCCCGGCGCGCGAAGCGCGCCAGGGGTGGCGCCATGGGTCCCCAGCTCAGATCCAAGGAATCCGCGCGGAGCTCCGAAAGTGTATGTGCATATGGTTCGTCCGTCCTCTGGAGGCAAGGTCCATTTCGATCCGATCGATCCGATTCGATATTTACCAGCCTGGAACATATCCCTATCCCTATGCTGGGCACCTCCTCATCACGATGCCAATCTTAGGGTTCCCCCTATTTTTTGAGGGCGAATCCCTAAGATTGTCATCGCCTTTTGGCGTGTCAATCTTAGGGATAGGGATACGTTCGAGGCTGGTAAGATATGGGCTGTAGCCGGCCCGATTCGATCTGACCCCGCGGTGCGGGCGATGCGGTGTGGCCCGAGGCCTGCGTGCCGCTGCTGTGCACCCCGGGGCGGCCGCTCCGATTCGATCTCGACTCAGTGCCGTCGGGGGCGGAAAAGAGGGGGGTGATGACTAGGGGGGGGTGGATATCATGGCGGGGGCCATGATATCTCCCCAGATTTCATGGCGCCTCTTCTTATCTCATGACGTCCCTGGCCCCCCCGCTGGGCCGCGCACATGCCGCCGGTCACGATTTGCACCCCCCCCTCTTGGACACCCCCCTCTTGGCCGCTCCCGAAGTGCCGAGGTGGCCCGATTTGTTGCACGGTCCGCTCCGGCTCGATTTCCCGTCTCGACGATGGCTGCCCCTGCCGAGGAGGGCAGGGGCAGCCCCCCCCCCCTCAAAAAAAAATAGCAGTGCCCCTGCCGAGGAGATCGTGCTGAGCTTCCTGCTCTACGTGCCCGAGCCCGCGGAGCCCGCGCCGCTGCTCCTCTTCTTCCACGGGGACAACGCCCGCGACACCGCCTGCTGCCCCATGCCCGGGCTGGCCGACTTCGCCGACACCTACGGGCCGGCGGAGGTCTGCAAGGGCAGGACCGGCGGCACGCAAGAGTCTCCAGTCGGGCGGGGCTGGGACGAGGACGAATCCGCTCCGGAGCGTCCTGGAACGCCCCCAGAGCGTTCGGGAACGCTCTCAGCAGGCCGCGGCGCCTGAGACATCCCTGGAGCCGCCAGATCTCAGAGATTCTCGATCTATCGGGGGCGGCAAAGAGGGGGGTGATGATTAGGGGGGGGGACGTCATGGCGAGGGCCATGACGTGTCCCCAGATGTCATGGCGCCTCTTGTTACCTCGATGCGTCACCGGCTCCCCCCTGGACCGCGCACATGCCGCCGGCCATGATTTGCGCCCCCCTCTTGGACGCCCACATTTTGCACGCCCCCGAACTCGTCCTCACCCGACTTGGCCCTCGTCCTGGCTTCGTCTTAGGTCTGCAGGGGCAGGGTTGACTGCACGCCAGAGTCTCAAGAGTTCATCTTTCCACCAGAGTGGCCTTTGGTGCATGCCCACGGGGGCCCCCCGCCTTACGAGCGCGATGCGATAGCTCAGAGGAGGAGGAAGAGGAGGAGGAGGAGGAGCAGGACGAGAAGGAGGAGGAGGTCGCTGCCACAAAGCCGCGCACCAATGGACACTCTTGCCCAGGCGTCACTCCTGCATGTAGCCTCCACGGGTGCGCAAGCCCCCCCCCGCTTTCCCTCCTTTTTGCATCGTTTTCTCCATGCTGAGGCATCCTGAGAGGCCCTCGTCGCCACCGCTGGATTCGCCTCGAAATCCTGGTCAGGACGCACCCCAGGGGGGATCCGGGGAGCAGCGGTATCGGTATCCTTTTGGTTTCCCCAGTCTTGTGCGCTCGGGCTCGTCCCCCCCCCCCCCCCCTCTCCCCCCGCGCCCCCCCTGAATGACGCCGCGCAGCACCAGAGGTCACTGTTGCCCTCCTCCTCCTCATCATCCGCCTCCTCCTCCTCCTCCTCCTCCTCCTCCTCCTCCTCCTCCTCCTCCTCCTCCTCCTCCTCCTCCTCCTCCTCCTCCTCCCCCTCCTGCCCCTCCTGATTGGCGGTTCCGAGCAGGGGACGGACTGCAGAAATTGACTCGCCGCGGCGCCCCCCCGGAAGCCGCGCACTGCAGAGGCCACCGCTGCCCCCCGCAGTGAAGCCGAGCACCAAAGAGGCCACCGCTGCCCCCGAAGTGAAGCCGAGCACCAAAGGGGCCACCGCTGCCCAGAGGTTCCCTCCCGCGTGCGGCCCGCCAGGAGGAAGGCGGAGCACGAGGCGCGCAGGTTCGTCGTCGTCACGCCCTGCAGCCCCGCCGAGTACTGGTTCTTCAGGCCGGAGGAGGAGGAGGAGGAGGAGGAGGAGGAGGAGGAGGAGGAGGAGGAGGAGGAGGAGGAGGGGGAGGGGAGGAAGGAGGGAGGAGGAGGAGGAGGAGAGGAGGAGGAAGGAGGAGGGAGGAGGAGGAGGAGCGAGGAGGAGGGGGGGCGGGGAGGACGGGACACGACGGAAATCTCTGAGATCCAGCGGTTCTGCGGCTCCAGGAGGCGTCGGGCGCCGCGGCCTTCTCGGAGCGTTTCCGGAACGGATGCACAGAATTGAGTGGCCCCAGTGTCGATCTTCTCGCCGAACCCAGGAGGCATGCGCAGAATGTTCGCAGATCTGGGCACACCCTACGCGTGACTCGACGAGAGGTTCACTTTGGGGCAGATGAGCCCTCTGTAGTCGGTGCCCCTGTTCGCATGGCACGCCTGCACAGAATGCTGGCCAGGCCAGCTCCGGGCCCCGGATCGGTGCCGATGCCCTCCCGCCGGAGCCAGGAGGGCGTACAGTGCCGTTTTTTATACATGCTCCGCGTGCGGATCATGCACTAAAAATGCAGGGATCTAGTATTAAAAACAACGATGAGTTCATGCATAAATTCATTCCTGAAGTAGTCATGGATTCCACTCCTATGTATTGAAAAATCCAATGTATCAAAAATTGCCCTGTACACATCTTGGGCGTCGCGTACTGGAGGGGCGATCAGTGGGGAGGGGGGTAGCGAGGGCTGCAGAAAAAGAGGCCCTGTCGGGTTTCGAAAGGGGCCCCATGGGGCCCAGAGAATTGGGCCAAAAGGGCCCGAGAAGTGCCCTGTTCTCTCCTCCTCCTCCTCCTCCTCCTCCTCCTCCTCCTCCTCCTCCTCCTCCTCCTCCTCCTCCTCCTCCTCCCCCCCCCCCAGTCTGGCGCCCCCCCATGCAGCGACGCCCACATACGAGGGTCGGAGATGCAAGGGGTGGCGGGCCCTCCAAATTGACGCTTCGCAAACGCAGGCCCGCGGGCGCGCCTTCGGCGCGAGGCCCAACAGTCGGGCATTGAAGCTCAGCTGTTTTTCTTCCTGGCGCGTTTCAGTCGCGATGGCCTGCTTCACACACACACACACACAGACACACACACAGACACACAGACACACACACACACACACAGACACACACACACACACACAAACAAACACCGATCCTACGCCCAGGATGGTCCTGGCCTGGATCGGTGCAGGTGCACAGACAGGTAGCGTCCTCCTGTGAGTCGGCGGCGTGCGGGGGGGGGGGGTGAGAAGGAGGAGGCCTTCTCAGAAGACTCGGACGTCTCCCAGCGTCGGGAGAAGCGTTCTCAGCCCTCCCCCGAAGGCACGGGGAGCTCTTGAGGAGGCTGGGGGGCGTCTGAGAAGTACCGCCGCCTTCCAAGGAGGAGGGAGGAGGAGGGAGGAGGGAGGAGGGAGAGGGAGGAGGAGGAGGAGGAGGGAGGAGGAGGAGGAGGAGGAGGAGGAGGAGGAGGAGGATGCTCCCTTTCGCTTCCCCCCCTCTGCTCGCCGCCGCGTGAGGTACCCCGCCGTGCACGACTCGGGCGCCTACGTGCCCGCGGTGGAGCGGTGGGTGCGGGCGCTGGCCCGGTGGACGGAGGCGCTGGGGCTCACCTGCCCGCGCGCCTGCGGCGGCCTGCGCCTCGTGGGCCAGTCCATGGGCGGGTACGCCGCCCTGGAGCTGGCCCGGGCGATGCCGGAGGAGGTGCGCCCGCCTCCACCTCCTCCTCCTCCTCCTCCTCCTCCTCCTCCTCCTCCTCCTCCTCCTCCTCCTCCTCCTCCTCCTTCTCCTCCTCCTCCTCCTCCTCCTCCCTCCTCCTCCCTCCTCCTCCTCCTCCTCGGCTCAACAGCGGCCCGGCGGGCCCTCCACGGCGGCAGATGTCCGGGGCGGAAAAGAGGGGGGTGATGACTAGGGGGGGGTGGCTATCTTGGCGGGGGTCGTGATAGTTCCCCAGATTTCACGGCGCCTCTTCTTAGTTCATTGCGTCCCTGGTCCCCCCGCTGGGCCGCGCACGTGCCGCCGGTCATGATTTGCACCCCCCCCCCTCTTAGACACCCCCCTCTTGGCCGCTCCCGACCTGCCTCGGGGCTCACGAGGCATGGGGTCCAGGCAGGCGGGGCCTGCAGAGGAGGAGGAGGAGGAGGAGGAGGAGGAGGAGGAGGAGGAGGAGGAGGAGGAGGAGAACAGGAGGAGGAGAACAGGAGGAGGAGAACAGGAGGAGGAGGAGGAGGAGGAGGAGGAGGAGAGCCACCAGATCTTGCAGGATCCTGCAGGGTCAGGGGTGCATTGGCCCAGGCTTAGGGTGCAGGATCCTGCAGGAGCCTGCAGGAGCTTGCAGGATGCTGCAAAGCCTGACTGGCCCTGGTCTGAATTGACCCAGGTCAGTAGATCCCCGACTGCTCCTGTCGCCATGGAGGAAGCGGTCTGGAGGGAAACGGATCCTCCGGTTTTTCGCCGTTTTCGGGCTCTCGGGACCCTCCACGGGCGCCGGGACAATCAGGAAACAATTCAAAATAACAAATCATCTTGGAGGAAGGCCCCACGGTATAGGACCCCTTTCTCTCAGGACCCGTCCCCTTTTGCGAATCCTGCGCTACATTAGGCCTCCCAAATGGGGTCTGCAATTGATGAGGTCGGAGGATCGCGTAGCATCGCCGATGCATCGGTGATTTGGTTCAATGTGGAGCCCGATCTTCTCCACGCCGACGCAGCTGATACATCGCCGACGTTGCGGAAGTATCGCCGATGCAGCGGTGATGCATCGCCGATGCGGCGCGATCCTCTTGACAACATCTACTCCGACCCTATCTGGGAGGCCTCCAACCTCCTCTTGAGTGTTGGGAGGGCCAGACCCCGTCGCGCGGTGACGAAAACCACGACGGCAGGCTCTTGGCCATTTTCGGTTTCTAGTGCCCCGTCACAAGGCGCCGTGACCAGCTCGAGATAAAAAGCTGGCCCTGGGTCTGGGGTCGAGATCTCCGAAGGTCCGCGCTGCGGACAGGTCACATCGTCGTGGGTAATTATGGGACCCCCCCCCCCGCTCGGGTGTTGCCAGAGGTGACCCTGGCCCAAGGTTGCCACAGCCTTTCAAGGGAAGCATGGCCTCCAGGGCCCCCCCCGCACCAGATCCGGTGGTGCCCCTGTGGCTCCAAAACGGTCTGAAAAAGCTGGAGGTGCACGGTTGCCCAGGATCGCCTCTGAAAGCCTCTGCCTTTTTTGCCGCCGCCGCTTCGGAAGCCGCCGCCGCCGCCGCACCCCAAGAGGGCACACTTCGCTCGGCGGCGCGCGCGAGGGGGTGGCGAGAGGAAGGTGGCCTCTGAAGAAGCCCAGGAGGCTTCTAGGCCTCCGAGATGGGGTCCGAGCAGACGGGGTCGGGGGATCTCGCTTCATCGCCGATGCATCGGCGATGCGGCTCGATGTGCAGCCAGATTTCCTCTTCGCCGACGGCGCCGATGCGTCGCCGACGTCACCGATGCATCGGCATCGGCGATGCATTGGCGATGCGGCGCGATCCTCCGACCCCGTCTACTTAGTATACTTGGACCCCGTCGAGGAGGTCTCCACTCTCACCGGGGGGCCTCGCAGGGGCCGTCTTGGCTGCTTTCAATAGCTCCCTGGGCGCTTCAAGAGGGCCCCCGCCTCCCGGGAGCCCCCCCCCCTTGAGACGGGCCGCCAGCCTCGTGCCCCCTCCCTTCTGGCAGTGGTGTTTTTCAATCGTGAGAAAATACATGTTAACCGTGAGAAAAAAACAATACGTAAAAACAATATGTAAACGTGAGAAAAAAAAACATGCAACAAAAAACAATACGTAAAAGCAATACGTAAAAACAACACGTAAAAACAATACGTAAAAACAACACGTACAAAGCAATACGTAAAAACAACACCTAAAAACAATACGATCTGCCTGCAGGCTCGGCTCCTCGGAGACCCCAAGGGTGCCCTCGAGGGCGCGGCGCGGAGCTGCTCGCGCTGCGCGGCTCGGCCCCCGCCTCCTCCTCCTCGCCCTCCCCTTCCCCCCCCCCGCTCGGGGGCGGCGCGAGAGCGCGAAGCTGTTCGCGCTCCGCGCTTCCTCGGCATCGCTCGGACCTGTGCATCTTTCCTTCGGCGAGGACCCTCGAGGAGCATCCTTGATCACTGGGCGAAAAAACCTCGCACGAGACCGAACAAAAGCAGGGAATGGACGTCCGAGCGATGGCGAGCTCCGCGCTTCGCGCAGCGCGAAGCGCGGAGCTTGGCGCCGGCGAGATCTCGACCCCGTCCCAGGGACCCGCGTTTCGTCCCGGGTCGTGCTGTTGAGGGTCCTCGGGTCCGGCGAGGGCCCCCCGAGGCCGAAGAGAGCAAATAGGCTGTCCGCCGCGTTTTTTTTGTCACGGCGCGAGGAGGTCTGGCACGCACACACACACACACACATACCGAACAGAAGAATCCAATTTGCTGGCCCCAGTAGCAACCTGCCAGGGTTCAGACTCAGCGTCCCTGCTCGAGGGCACCTTCTGCGGAGGGGAGGCAGGGAGGGGGGAAGAGGCAGAGAGAAGGAGAGGTGCCCAACCCAGCAACAGTCAGGCGATCGCAAACATGGATCAAGGGGGCGTGGATTAGCGACGGGTCCCGTTTCCGCGGGAAATCGCGGATTTCCGCCACCGAGCGAGGCGGCACCGGCCGCGTTTTGGGGACCCCCCCCCCCCGATCCATGGATTTGGCGACCGCGCGCCAAATCCATGGATCGCTAATCCACGGTTGCGCGCCCCCGAAACAGGGGTCTGAATAATTGTATTGCATTGTATTGCAACTAATGCATTGCACACGAAAATCCAGCAATACATTTGCGCCCCAGAATGTATTTATTGCACGCCCCAAGTGTATTGCAACCACAAAGCTATTGCACCAAATCTATTTCACCACCCCCTTGTCGCTGGACCCCCTTTTTGGTCCAGCGACCCCCTTTGGGTCAACCCAGATCACGCCATCATCCCGCATCCGCGCTCCTCCGAAGGTGGCGGCGATCGGCTGCGGCGCTCCGTGCTTCGACGCCTTCCGGCTCGACCGGCTCGCCCAGAGGATCCAGAACATCCCCTTGTGGATCCTGATAGGCCGACAGGACACCATGTGCGCCTTCGAGGATCGGAGGGCCCAGCTATGTGACAGTGTGGTGTTTTCGATGGGCGGGCTTACCAGCCTCGGACGTATCCCTATCCCCAAGATTGGCACGCCAAAAAGCGATGACAATCCTAGGGATGCGCCCTCAAAAAATAAGGGAATCCCTAAGATTGGCATCGTGACGAGGAGATGCCCCAGCATAGGGCTAGGGATGTGCTCCAGGCTGGCAACGGGTACTCCTCAGTCTGGGCATCTGGGTTTCGGCCCGGGGCCCCGGGAGCTTCAAGAGCGGATCTGGGACGAGAGTTGGCCCCAGGGCGGTGGTCGGGACAGCTGGGGCCGCGGCTGGCGGTGGGCGGTGGGCGGTGATGGGAAAACCAGTCATGCCGGCGGATGGCCCAGAGCAGCAGTTGCGCAAAGTCGGCATCGCCTGACCGATCTCCATCCGCCTTTGTGCCGTGCTACCTCGGCCCCGCCGGCCCACTAATCCTTGCGAAACCCGAACGGAACAGCGTATACACACCCAGATCATCCGCGACCGCCCAAAGCCTGTAGCGAGGTAGCAGAGCCGGTCGTTACTGGAATATTGGAATCCAGGGATTGATTCCGGTATCAGGAGTCACGCGTGCACGGTTGAATCAGCGTGCAAATTCCGGTAATTCGTTACTGGATTCGCGTTCAGCGATACTGGATTTCGGCGTCTCGTCGATACCGAAATCCTGCGCCGTCGTTGCCGAAATTTGGCAGCAGGAATGCCGAAATCCGCGCCTGGTTCGTTACCGAATTTCGCGTTCGACGATACCGAATTCTGCGTCGCAGTCGATGCCGAAATTCGGGTTGCCAATACAGAAATTCTTCACGCTTCGCGTATCCCCACCAGCCCATCTCAAAACAGCAACTCTAGCGAAGCATGCCGACAGTCGTGTTTTTCAGGCGTGTGTCTGGCTGCCCCCGCATATCTCCCCTGTTCCTCCTTCCTCCCGCCTCCTTGTACATCCTCCTTGTGGTGGGAGCGGGAGAAGGACGAGGCGGAGGAGGAGGGAGAGAAAGCGCTCCTCGTGGTTTGAGTCGTTTGGGGTTTCTCGTCCTGGTGTGAGTCGTTCGGGCCCTTCTTCCTGGTGTGAGTCGTTCGGGCTCTTCGTGGTGTGAGTCGTTCGGGCTCTTCGTCCTGGTGTGAGTCGTTCGGGCTTCTCGTGGTGTGAGTTGTTCGGGCCCCTCGTCCTGGTGTGAGTCGTTCGGGCCCCTCCTCCTGCCCGTCCAGAAACGACGCCCAGGCGAGTAGAGGGTCGTCCTGATGGGCTTTTCGGCGTCTTGGGTGCCTCGGGGGGGCCTCTTTGGGCCGTTTGGGATCCTCTTGGGGGCCTCCTGGGGGCCTCTTGGGGCCATCTTGGGGCCTCTTGGTGCCTCCTGGGCGCTTCTGGGGGCCATCTTGGAGGGAATCGATCAAAGAAGAGGGGAGCTTTAATGAGCGCTGCCCCCTCAGAAGGGCAAAATGAGCCCAAAACCTTCGTAAAATCAATGGTTTTGCCTTGAAAGACGAGGGGAGCTTTAATGAGCGCTCCCCCCTCAGAAGGCCAAAATGGGGCCAAAACCGTAGTAAAATCAATGATTTTGGCTTCAAAGAAGAGGAGAGGGTTTTTTCTGCCTCCCCCCGTCGGGGCCAGAATCCTCGTGAGGGGTGTCGTTTTTTAGCCCTCCCAGGAGTCGAAAAATACCCCTCTGGCCACCCGCGAAAGGACCTCTCCAGGCCCAGGGGGAGGGGGTAGGGGGAGGGGTAAACCCCTCCCCGAAGGGGAAGAAGGGGGGGTGAGAACAGAGAGAGCTCCCTAAACCACTCACGCCCAAAGGGCTGGTGGGATTCAGAGATCATGAGCAGGGGCGTGTTTCAATTACTTCGAGATGGCGTCAAAACCGGGATCCAATGGCGACCTGAAATCGACAACCCAGAAATCCGTTAACGAGATAAACTTGTCCCAGATGATCTGGGCATAGATGCACATGCATATGCACAGTTACATGTGTGAGTATCTGCATGTATATTCGTATATGTTCATATTCATATATATATACATATGTGTGTGTGCGTGTAAGGTGTGTGTGTGTGGGTGTGTGAATTGTATGTGTAAGTTGTATGTATGTGTAAATGTATATGCTGCGCTATATACATGTTGTACCCCCACCGAAGGGGTAAGTCGGCCAGTTGTGCAACGGCCATGCCAGTGGGGATCCTGCTCGGTTGAACGACGCTCAATAAGAACAAAATTGTCGGAAGTCCACGCGGATGCCTTGGGTCGGCGCTGGACCCCCCTTGGCCGCGCCTCCGGGGCTCTCCTGGCGTGCTTCGCGCGCCAGGGGGGGCGGTTCCAGCACAGACCCACGAAATTGACGCGCCGACCTCTAAAACGTGTCGCTGACATGTTCTTTTACTGTCCTGGAGGAGGCAGCGACTTTGGCCCTGAGGCTGCGGGACCTCAAGGCCAAGTTCGTCCGGCTGTCTAGCCTGGGCATCCGAGCTCACAGCGACGCTTGCAAGCAGCTGGACAAGGCCTTCTTGTTCCGGTGGCTGCTTAACCCGCTCGGGGACGGATGACGGGGAGGCCAGCGGCGCTTGGCTTATGCATTCTTTGTTCTTTGACACACCAATAGGGGGACCAGAGAAAGAAAGAAGAAGAAGATAGGAGCATGGTGAGGCATGCACGCCGATTACTGAAAGTAATATTCTTGGGCTCCCCGGCCCCAATCTACTTTAGGCGCCTTCCTACCCTGAGGGTCGAGTCGTCTTCCCCCTTCCCTCATCTACAGGTGGCGGGCGGACACCCAATCTACTTCTAACGCCTTCCTACTTCATGGTTCCACCTGTTGCTTCCGACCGACGGGTATCAGGAGGGAAAAAACACACACAGACACAATGAATCGTCGATTCCCCAGAAAATTTTGGAAAATATGGGATGGGGGGGGGACCACAAAACCCCAGAAAGGTGGGAAAATATGGGGCATCATGTTATTTGTGTGTATTTGTTTGTGTGCGTCCCAGGGCCCTTTCAGGGCAGGGGGACCAGGGAACGAAGAGGCAAGGGCGGAGCAGGGTGAGGCACGTGTGCGTCGCAGCGTCCCGTGCTGTTTGGAGGCCCGCGCAGCAGGCAGTGCCTCGCGTATGTGCGCCTGTGGCCACCGGAGCCAGACTGGCTCGAGCAGATGCGCGTCGCGAGCACAGCTGGCACGAGGATTCGCAACGGCCCTGGCTTCGGATTGTTGATTGCCCTTTCAACCTTCGCGCTCGGGCCCTCCACCGTGGGAATGTTCTTTGTATGGGGTACCTCCATCGGTCCTTGGTCCCTCAGCGAAGGCGCTCATGTTCTTGACACACGTGCTTGTGACCATGTTTCGGCCGTCACTGTTGTATGTTTCTGTGTTGCCGGAGCAGCGCAATGCATGCATGCTGTACGATGCAGCATCGATTGCGATCACATTGCCCCGCGGGAGGTAGTGCATAATGCAGGTTGTTGTTTCTGCTGCAGCCTGCTGCCACAAGAGAAGGACGACGAGGAGGATGAAGAGGATAGGAGACAAAGGCTGAGCCCTCCTGTCCCCTTTTTGAACATTTCCTTCCACCTCCCGTCCTCCACCACCCTGGCCTCTTTTCCGAGCCGTATCCAGCTGTGGCGACGTTTGGGTGGCCAGAAGGCCCAGGAAAGGATCAGGAGGAGGAGGACCTGTGTAAACCCAAGACGAATCAACGATGTTGCAAGAAACCGCCCTCCTTCCAAGTTCCCTCTTCACAGGTCCGTCGGATAATTTATTTCCATCCCGGGAAGTGGCCCATCAGAAGACAACCGTCCGATAACCCTCAAGCGTGCTGAAGCGCCGCTCTTGGGAGTTCAGCGCCGCGGATCCAGCGTCCTGACAATCTTGAGCCGTGCCGGATCACCATTCTTGGGATGATACCATTAAGTCGGGCCTGTCCCTCTGCAGGGGGACGATTCAAAGATGGTCAAAACACAGTCTGGGGACTGGTTCTTGGGTATCTTTGGGGGCATCTTTCGAGCATGTCTTGATCTTTTTCACTCTTCGTCCAAAGCCCCCCTGTAGGGGGACAGGCCCGACCTGATGATGCTACGAGCCAGCGTGGCCGCTCTTCCGAGGAGCCGGCCCCGCGGCCCCGTGCCCGTCCGTCGCCGCACAGCCCCTCCTCCCTCCTCCTCCTCCTCCTCCTCCTCCTCCCTCGCGCCTCCTCCGCCTCCTCTTCCTCCTCCGCCTCCTCCGCGCCTCCTCCTCCTCCTCCGCCTCCTCCTCCTCCGCCTCCCCCTCCTCCTTCCCCTCCTCCTCCTCCTCCGCCTCCTCCTCCTCCTCCTCCCTCTCCTCCGCCTCCTCCTCCTATCCGCCGCCTCTCCTCCCCTCCTCCTCCTCCTCCTGCTCCTCCTCCTCCTCCTCCTCCCCTCTCCTCCCTCCCTCCTCTCCTCCTCATCCACGCCGCCTCCTCCTCCCCTCCTCCTCCCTCCTCCCCGCCTCCTCCTCCTCCTCCTCCTCCTCCTCCTCATCCTCCCTCCTCCTCCTCCCCTCCTCCCTCCTCCCTCCTCCCCTCCTCCCACCTCCCTCCGCCTCCTCCCTCCTCCCTCCTCCCTCCTCCCTTCCTCCCTCCTCCCGCCGCCCTCCTCCCTCCTCCCCCTCACTCCCCTCCTCCCTCCCTCCCTCCCCCTCCCTCCTCCCTCATCCACGCCTCCCTCCTCCCTCCTCCCCTCCCTCCGCCCTCCTCCCTCCTCCCTCCTCTCCCTCCTCCCTCCTCCGCCTCCTCCCCTCCTCCTCCTCCTCCTCCCCTCCTCCTCCTCCCTCCTCCCTCCCTCCCTCCCTCCTCCCGCCCGGCCCCCATCCCTCCCCTCCTCCCCTCCCTCCCTCTCTCCTTCCCCCCTCACCTCCCTCCCTCCCTCCCTCCTACCCTCCTCCCACCTCCTCCTCCCTCCTCCCTCCTCCCTCCCTCCCTCCTCTCCCTCCTACCCTCCTCCCCCCTTCCCTACCGCCCTCCTCCCGTCCTCCCCCTCCCCCCCTCATCCTCTCTCCTCCTTCCGCCCTCCTCACTCCTCCCGTACCCCCCTCCGCCTCCGCCTTCCTCCGCTCCTTCTCCTCCTCCTCCATCCTCCTCCTCCTCCCTCCTCTCACTTCTCCTTCCTCCTACTCCTCCTCTCCATCCTCCGCCCGTCCTCCTCCGCCGTGCCCGCCCGCGGCCGCGTGCGGGCACGGCGGCCCCGCTCCCGTCCCGCCGGCGCCGCCCCAGTTGCCCCTCTCCCCCGCAGGCGTCGTGCACGGGTGCCCAGATTACTAGCCGGCCG